TCAGTAATTTGCATCCACGATATTTGTTCACTTTTTTCTGACTTTTATTAGTGGTCTATATAAGATTAATTGGTGAAACGTCTGCCATTCTATTTTATTTTGATTTTAACTTATTTGAATTTCGACTGTAATCTGACCAGTTCTGGTTGGCAACCTATTCAGATTGTCCAAAAGTAGTCATTATGACACAAGTTAGCATAGGATAAATGGAATTTAGCCATCATTAAAATCCAGTACGACCCTTTTGTGCTGGACTCACCAGCTGGATGTACCTGCATCTCAGGAATGATGTTCACACTCGTTGAACAAATCAGGAGTTATCTGGACTCAGTAGCTAAATCGATAACGCGTTGACATTTGAAGGATACTGGGTTCCAGTACAGGGATGGACATCAACTTCATGATTCAGGTACATCCATCTGATGACTTCGGTGTAGAAAAAAAGGTATGTCCTAGATCCTACTGCTAGCCATCTGTTCTGTATTTTATCACAGCCGTACACGTTTTCGCTTTAAAAAATTACAGCATTAACAACACTTAAATTAAGCTACAATTCTATACCGGATAACAATTTTATTTTATTTATTATTTACCGAATGATATACGATTATTAAGAATAATTTATTCAACTTTGTGTTTTTACAAGCTTCATGGGTGTATGATATCTTAACATATCAGCTAGTTAAAACAGAATTATTTAACAGATCATTGATTTTTCAACGCAGCGAGTAAGCTTAAATTATAAATGAAAGTGGATAGTGTAACTGAGTGTGAATAACAGTATATGAAATACTCAAAAATTAACAGGTAACATTAACATTTATATTATCAGATAAGTTTAAACATTTCTGTGAGGTATGAAAATTGTAATTTAGAGTTAAATTTTCTTTTGTAGCAGATACGAATGAAAGGAACAAAACATTCATGACAAGGTAAAAAAAGAGCATTATGAATCATATGTTTTATTATCTAATCTATTTTACTACACTTGACCGTTAAGTGATACCATGTTACCAATAATTTCAGCTTCGCATTATTTTCTGAAATGAAACGTTTGAAGTTCTTGAAGGCTTTAGGCATAACTCTTATAACTGAAGGGGATTTTTAACCTACAAAATCAACGATTTTTGTCAGTCGATAAGATTTTAGTTTTCATTTTATAAAGTCACTATGATATAGATTAATAAATAGTCCCAATTCTGTTATAAAAATCCTGAATAAAGGAAGATACAGGTTAACAATCACTGTATTGTATACTGAAGCTAGTGAATTAGATAAAAATTACAAACTCGAAATATCTCGGCTTTTTCGTAATAACATAATAATTTATCAGACTAATCGAGTGATAAGAAAATGGAGGATTTCTTTAGAAAATTAAATCTAAACACAATTAGTTAGAATATAATAATTTCAGTTAAACGTCTTAAGTTTCACTAGATAAAGGCTAAAATCAAAGTTGTTAAGACATTCTATGACATAGTAATTCATTCTTGGTAACCAGCGGTGTAGAATAAATAAGAATAAGAACCAACAAATGAGATAAATATGTTTAAAATATACGCCAAAAGCTACTTTATAATCATTTTAATATTGACCAGCAGTATAATTTAATCGTCCGATTCATGTAACTCAGCTGAATGTACTGTGCTTCAGTATAATTGTTGACGCTGATACTCAAACATGATACTTATCGCTTCAAATATTAACATAATATTGACTAAGCTATTCAGTTGAAATAGTTTTTTATTCTGTTACTGGTAATGAATGTCAATGTATGATTGGCATATGTAACATATGTGGAAAATTCATCATGGGAAAAATCTTCCTAGAAAAAACATTCAATGGATTTTTACCTTTATCATCCTTTCGAACGTCACAAATATATAAATTGTTCGTTTTATCAAAACCATTTGACTTAGTCTTCATAATTGCAACTTTAAGTCGTTCATGTCACTCAATTGTTTGTTCACATCATATTTTTCATCTCATATGAGTATCGACTTAATTTAATTAAGAATGTTTTCATAGTAAAAATTATATCAATCAAATGTGAGAGTTTGAAGATGAATTCATATTGAATGCTTTATTGAAAACAACATTAAGGATCAATAAAATAACCGAAAAAAATTATGAAAAAACTAACATTTGTAATCTCTTCAACAGTATAAAAATATATTTCAATATTTTTGGAATATTATTTAAAAATAAAGAAGAACATCAATTGTACAACAACAAATAGGTCGAGATAAGCAAAAATGGATAGTGGCTAGCAATGGAGTTCAGTATGCGCGTTTCGTCCTACTTGGGACTCGTCAGCTGGATGTACCTGCATCTCAGAATTGATGTTCACTCTGGGATTCAAACCCAGTACCGTTCGCTTCAAACGTCGTTGTGTATAAAGCATGTGAATTAAGGCAATATCGAGGCAATACTCACAGTATGCACAATTGCCAATAAGAGAGTGATTAATTGCTGTCCTAAACATCAATGGGAAGAATCGAGTAAACAATATCAAGTGAATTTATGCGGGTCGACAGTTTATTATATTTAGAAACTGGTGTATTAGATCAGTATTGTCACATTTTATCATATTTATTTGATTGAAAAATAGATAAGGCAAAATATTATTGAAGACCAGTTATATTTACGGGTTAATATCGAACTGCAATTTTTTTAAAATAAACTTTAAAACTACTAAAATACATTTTCAACCTAAATGACCATCTTAAAACATTTAATATTCACTTGTGTTATCCAATTCAATCATAATTCACACACATAGTTCCCTTTATTATTTTAAAGAGAGCAAGAACAAAGGTTGGTGCAGAATAATATGAATTCATTTTATTTCGTTAGGTTCTCATCAGCTGCTTACAACCTAAAATATTTGAAATTCAACGTTATTACAGATATTGACATATATCAGAGGGTGATGAAGGATGAACGTGATGTAGCAAAGATGCTGTTAGAGATAATGAGGTTATAAAATTTGTTTCGAATATATATAGTTTGGGAGGGAAGGTTCCATAACATAGAAATAATGATTAGAACTCATGGAATTAAAACACATTAGATGATTATGTAATGAAGTAACTGGAATAGATTAATGATAATAAAGAGAGATATGAATTGAAATCAGTTATGAATGATGTATTTATAAATTTTTTGGAAACAGTTGGAATGACGTAATAAATAAAAGAGGGGTTAATGTTACCAAGCCAAAGAAAGATTTATTACTGTTTCTTTGATCACCTTGAAGGACTTCAGTATATCGATTTCGTGTCCTGTGTCAAAAAGATGTCTTGCGATAGCGCTGCTGAATGTTTTTGGTCCGTTTGATCTCAAACGCTTCGGAATATGTTCTTTGAATCGGACGTAGGCTCTCCTTTCTGTTCTACCAATGTAACTGCTTTGGCAGATACATGTAAATTTGTATACACAGTTGGTGGTAACATGAAAGGGATTCCTGTCGACCTTTGATTGTGTCAAAGAACATGTTGTTTTGGACAGGACAATCAATTTAGCTGCTGGATATGTTTTTGTCAATGCAGTGTTTAGTCTCATATTTATTGACACTGTGACATTATCACCTTTGAATTTGAGTTCAATAAAAACAGGTTTTTTGTCTACAGTAGTTTCTTATGGTATTTTTTCTTCACGTTTTCCTTATTTCTCAATAAATTTCAGCGGGTAACCGTTATTCCTTAAACAATTCAGTCGAATGATTATCTCGATTTAAGATATTTAGATTACAATTTGTCATAATGTAAAAGTGTACGTATGATGAAATCGTTTGCAGTTTATTGTATGGTTACTAAGTATCTCTTACTTTTTTTCACTCTTTCTCTATAAATAATTGTTAGTATACAATTTAAAAACAATATTACAACAGTATTGTATAAAAGTTAGAAATGTTTAATGTTATTTATATAATAAATCATTTTAAAAGTTTTTATTTCCCGCTAACCTTAATTTAGGATAAAATGTAGTTAAACGAAGAAAAGTCAAGTGAAAACGTTTTTGTGCACCGTTAATATTGTTTCGGCAAAACAAACATGATAATGTCAGAATAGCTCAATCGTATTTTATGAAGGGACTTTTTCTTAAAGAAAATATACATTTACATAAATATTCCATGAATTAGATTCAGTACCTCTGACTGTACAAAACATTCAATATTGTTTTATAATGAATATTTGTGAAAGGATTGGATTTATGAAACAAATTCACGCTGATATTATTTCTCAAGTAACCAGTGAAACTAAACTGTCTAGTGGGCTACACGAAAGTACTTAATTAGTAATTATTTCAGTAGATTTATGAAAACAACATATTTTATGATGTATGCACCAATCAAATTTGACGTCCTTCAGTTATTATTTAGAAAATGTTTAACAAAATAAAATCTGGAAGCATAGGACGGCCATTTCGTACTAGTGTAGATCTGCTCAGCAGTGCGCATCCATGATCCCACATTCGGTGCTCCAACCCAGAAACTTCGGTCTCACACTCGAACATTTAACATCCAGACCACTGAGCTGACTTCTAACGATGATAATACCTAATTTCAACCAATCCACGATGTTGCACGACCGTCTTTCATTGTCTACAGTCAATAACTGCCTCACACCAGACACGGTTGAACTCCACTGGTCATAGCTTCTCACTAGAGCCGCAGAGTTTGAATTCTGAATGCTGGATAAAGGATTTGAATGACTGAGGAGCCCCATACTGGTACGAGACATCCATCCAATACTTCAGGGTACTTATTGGTGGTTTAACACTTCTCAATTCATGATCTCAATCAAAACTCAACAATCTCCACAAGTCTCTGGTGAAAAAAATGAAGACTCCCTACATAAACGAGATTTTGGTATAAATGAGATTAAATAATGCGTTTGTACAATTATCAATCAAAAAAGAAAACAATATAATAAAATTAAAATGACTTTATCGTGATTGGTTCATATCAACCAATGAAAAACTGTTCAGGTAAAATGGTAATTTTGAATTTATTCTTGATTAGAAAGAGAATTAATCTGATTATAAGATTTTATCAATATTATTCTACTGTTTTAAATAAACCGATAGTGACATGGAATTGTGGCTTGTTGTATATAATGGAATAAAACAAAGATTTTAATGGGTAAGTATTTCTTTGTTTAAATAGATATCAAACACTAGTGTTATTTGGTTATTATGATATAATCATTTCCTTTACAAACATCATTAATAATGAATAACTATTTAATAGATTTGAAAGCTGTATTGTTGTATGCAGTTATTGACTGAAATACAGAGTCTAATTGCTCAAAGTCATTCAGAATCACTGAAATGTTAATAAATTCATATTTTTTGGACTAACTGATTATATAACCTAATTAAGATGTTCATAATATCTGACTGGTATTCATCCCAGTACATAGTTCGCGTTCATTGGTATATGTTTAAATACAGTTAATACAGTCTACCCTTACATACATAAAGAAATAATAAATTATGTATATTTGATTACGATTCGGTTTATACGGAAGAGTAACTGTAAGATTCAATTAAAGAAACTGAGCGTGCTTACTAGACGATTTCTTTTTCCTTTTAATTTCTTCATGAAAGAGCACTTTACTATCTATTAGACTAATTGGATCAGTGCAATATATAATATAAGAGATATACTTAACTGTTATTTAGTAAAATTACATTATAGCTGTCCCATATTTGATTATGAAATGATACTGCTTCATGACCAATACTGGAGTGAACAAGGTGACCAATGGGGACAAATAATTACAGAGCATCTCAATAAAATCTGAGAACCACACATTAAATCGTTAATTTGCAAAATATCAATCCATTATATCAAACTTGACTGTTCGTGTTGCGAACATCAATCCATTTTCTCAGATTTCATTGTTCATGCGTTTTCATACCAATTGAGATTCGCTTACATTCTTTCTTCATCGACCTTCTACTAAAATACATTCTATGCCTGACCACCGTCATATACTACTTGTGTGGATATAAGTAATCCACACCACACTACTACTAACATCTAATCAAGTACCGTTTCCAATTTCTTAGTTTAAATTTCAATCAAAAAGCGTATACAAGTGGTTCAAATTTGACAACACTGAAACTCTGTCACTTACCTTTATTGCAATGTAGGTGTTACATTAAGTGGGTTAATATCTGATCTACATTTTTTTAAAAATAACAAGACCGATGCCTTAGCTGCTTCGCTTTACAGCTTATTTATTTTATAAATTGTAGACAACCAGTTGACTATCATTTGAATTAGTGTTTTCATCAATGTAGTATGACATATTTATGATAGGATTTATGTTGTATACGACTGATGGAGTAAAAAACTTTCCGTACTAAAACAAAGTTTTTGTTACTTTATGAATAAACACGTAGTATTAAATAACATTATTATTATATGACAACATTATTATTTGACAAATTTCAAGCAAGCATTTGAGACATTTTTCAGGATGAGTAAAAATTATTATCCCATGCATTGAATTGAAATGACCACTATATTATTCAATCATGTCATGTAATAATCGCCTGAGAAGATAAAGCTGAATTTTTGACAGTTGATTAACTAAATATATAAATGACGTTGTTGCTACTATGGAGATATCAAATTATTTTATTCTTATCCTAATTCGTCTTACTTTTGAAGAAACTTGTTCTAGTAAATGGTTTTAGTGATTAATTTAAAAACATGTTATGATTATCATTTTTATTACCGTTTCATGTTCACTTGTAAAAGAATAATGCTTGTTAAAATAATTCACATCAAATAGACATCACACTGTTTTTAAGAATGACAATAACATGGCAACACGGTCATGAATTAAAAAATTCAGCTGCATTGATAATTATATTTTTTTCTTTTATACACAATAATCTAAGGCCTGTTGTGTATCTAAACATATACTCGAAATACCACCTGATTCATTTTTCACCTAACTACAAGTTATCAAACGACATGAATCGGCTAGTTTTGTAGATCATACCAATTCATCTTAACATCGCCAGTAATGAATATAATGACATTATATGAAATAATTTTATATATTCGTTCTACTTAATTCTTTCATCAGAAAAGTAACTACTGTGAAATAACTTTGCGTTGTCTTTTATTACACGAAATAACTAGCTATTCAAAATAAAACATTTTAATATTACATAACAGAAATTGGAACTAACGCTGTATAAGATTTAATAATCTATAAAGAACAATAACCACAATAAGAACAGAATAATCAATAAATGAAATAATGATGCATTAGTATTGAGTAGAAAAAGAACAATCTAAAAGTAAATCAATTGTTTTATGATGAAAAGTGAAAATTATTTAAATGTAATTCTTTATATAACATTTTAAGTTTGATCAAGTTTAATGTACGTTTGAAAACTGCCTAACTTTCTATTGAAAATCATTATAAGAAAAAAATAAACAATTTGATAAAAGAAAACTATTAAAAAAACAATTAAAATCTGTAATTGGATTGTTTTCAATTTTAATCAATAACTATTGAAACTAATAAATAATTAATTAAAAGCTTTAAATTTGTTAAGATTCTAATAATAATAATGATTGTTCAACATCCTGTATTTAATTAACATCATATTTTATAGTTTGATGAGTATACTATAAAAAGAATGATAGAGAATAGGGGAATAGAATGAGATGAAGACGGCGACGACGACGATTAAGGAGAAGAAGAAGGTGTAGTAGAAAGAAAATTACAAATTTGTTTTTTTTCCCTTATGAATCAATCTATATTTCAATGAAATTGTTCTTTTTTTTCGTGTTTTAGTTGAGTGCATAAAAGAAATGTAATTAATTAAAAAATTATATAACTAATAATTAACTGATGTCACGTTGAATGTAAAATAAAAAAGATAAATTAAAATGTGTAAATGAAGTTTGTTTATATTTTATTTCTGAAAAATAGCATCTTCTATATTGTCAACTGAAAAGATTAATAACAAAAGTTATTCTATTAAAAAACTAAAAAAAATTATTAAAATTCATTTAAATCTATATTCATTAGACATACTTTGAATAGTTTCAGTTATAAGATACACTATTAGTTCGTAATTGGATGGAGTCGATGAGATAACGTGAGACTATGTTTCATATTACTTAGATCAGTAGTTAACACTCAAAAGTCAATTTATCTTATTTCCTTGTAGTGAATTAAAATAATCTAGAGGCTTGAGAATATAAACGATCCGACCCACATGATAATAATACACTAATACGGAAAAACACATAATATTAAGTTTACTAGGTAAAATTCTTCATTGAACGTTTTATTTTATGGAAATTTAATCTTAAAAATATGTTGAAATTGTAAGAATTCTATATAATAGTTAAATATTTTGTTTCCACATTTTTGCATGAATGTATTATCAAGTTAGGTTGGTTTTTTGTTGGTGAAATGTACTTAAACAATGTGTCTACGTGTTTAAATTATATTTAAGTTGATGAACTAGAAGTATAACAGTGGAATTATATTTATTTATATCCGTTTAAGCCTTAATGTCATGGTTCCTGACCATTGTTGCTACCTTGACCTGGTGGTCGGGCTTACCTTTCGTGATGAATCAATCATGCTATACTGGCTGGAACAATCGTTCCTCAACGTCCTACCATGCCAGACAGGTCGGTTAAAGAGCAGTATTATATCCTTACATAAAATCTTTCTTTTATATATTACACCACTGAATTAACTGCTACTATGAATCCAGTGTTCGTCTCGCTGTGCTAATGAAGTGTGGCAACTTGGACCGATGCATGTGTGTGCCTGGTCCTACGTTGTAGCTGACTGACTGACTTATGTCATACAACAGATCGTATTATTGATTAATGTTGTATGATGTGGAATGATTTAAAAAATCCATCAGATCGTAGTCACAAATGAATTGAAAGTACTCAATGTTGCATAGAGCAACTCTATGGACTTTCAAAACATGGAAACAACAATCAATGTTTCCTGCGCGTCTGATGGTCACCCTGAGATCAAAAAATGAATAACGTAGACCGGGCACCTCTGATAATTCAAGTGCTCTTAAAGAGGAAGTTATATTGGGAGATGTTATAGGAATTACGATGTTTGTACTCTAGAGCATCTCCCAATATGGTCGGGAAAAGGTATAGTTATAATTCTTACTAGTTCAACTTAACCTCATTTGGTTCAAATTAATCATACAGACAACTTGAGTCAGTTATTAATAGCAATAGGTGATGCTAAGAGTAATCTGCTTAAATCCATATCTGTAAGAATCGCTGAAGCAATGGCGATTCAGATCAAAAAGCTTGAGCTTTAAGTCCAAAGGATGTTTTATCAACCGCTCCTTTTACATTGACATAATTCTGGCCTAATCAGTTAACAACCATTTCGAAAATATGAAAACACAATTTAATTAACACAACATTTCTCTTTGTGTTATCATAGCTTATATTTACCACATTTACATATCTTAGTAACATTATTATTATGACATTCATAGTTTCAAATCACATTATTTTATCCTCGATCAAATATTTTTAATGAATTGCAATTATTATTATTATTTTCTATATTCCATATTAACTGATCAATAATCTCACAACTAAAATGAACCTACAAATTAATTCAAGTTAACATTATATTATTTTATCAGGCCGACATGCCTCAATTTTCTAAGGTGTAATTATAAATGATGCATTTGACTTACATTTGGCCATCTCCTTTGAAACAATGATTTGAATTTATAACTGTAGAACCTGATGAGAATTAATTAAAATGAATATTCATGATTCATTTATCATTGTTTGATAACAGTCCCTCTAAACTCCTTTAAAGTATAGTCTTTTTTCTCACAAAAGTCTATTTCAGTAGGTATATGATTGTTGGTTAGTTTATTGTTCTATTTTTTAGACGTGTAATAAACTAAAATCTTTTTTTAAAATCCCTCTCGCCAAGTCATTTAATTTCCTCTACACATATCTCGAAAGATAATTCTAGTCACACAGTATGAGTTATATCTGTATTATAATATCAACTACTGCACAACCTTAATCAAATAAAACTATAAATATGGTTATTCACAGATTTCATTCTATTAAATTTTATTCAGAGAGAAGTTTTGTAGATATTATAATAATTTAATAGTTGAATTCGTGAATCAATCAAATCTAGATTACCACGGGTCTGGGTCTGTTGTGAGACTGGTAGGTCCTGAATTTGAATCTCGCGAGGCGGGATCGTGGATGAGCACCGGTGAGGAGTCCTATATTAGGACGAAACGGCCGTCCAATGCTTGCAGGTTTTCTACGATGGCCTAGCTTCAATTGAATCATGAATTCAATTATTAAATTATTATATTTTAGTCCAATTAATATAGTTGTTTGTAATGTATCTCAAATTTTTTTATCTGATAATCAGATAAGAAACAGTCAAAAGTAAGAGTATGGATTAATCAAGTATGATAATCATTCAGTTTAGCATCTGATTTTATTCTAGAAATTTCATTCCTTTTTTCATCATTTCAATAGGATATTTCATAGAATTCTGTGAATCATTTCCAGAGAAAATAATTGTCATAATTATTTGAATTTGATTTATAATCATCACAAAGGGAATCAGTTTATCAGGGTAATATATTTTTTCCCTTAAATTATATTTTTTAGTATTCACAGATCAGGGCTTCCTTTCAGGTTCCATCCAGTTGTTGTTCATTCTTTTCATGTCTGTCTCCTATTCTCAGCGTAATGTGTTCTTTGGTCTTCCTCTCCTCCTTTGGTTTTGAGAATTAGAAGTGAGGACTTGCCTTGTGACTCAGTTGAATGCCTTCCTTAATGTGTGTCCTATCCACTTCCAGTGCTTCTCCCTGACTTCTACCTCCGCTGGAATCTACTTTGTTATCTCCCACAGTAGGTTGTTTCTGATTGTGTCTCGCTAACGGACCCATATTTGTGGAATAGAAACCGTAATGAAGTAGGAACACAAGTGACGTCCAAAACATGTGCAAAAGTTTTAAGCTTATTAGGTTCAGCTAGCAATCATCAGATACAACATAAAAAAGTAATACTCTTAATAAATAAATTCTAAGGTTTATAAAAAGACTTTAAGAGTTATTATGGATTAGATAACATGAAATAGGTCATTATGCAATCACTATTGAGTATACTTTATCGTGCATACAGCTATTCTTTCATCAGGTCTAAAGTTAAACATCAAAAAAATGTAACAAACGTATCGAATTTGTTTGTGACTACAAATAAATGTTTTTCTTATGAATGTTTTCAGTTACTAATCATTTTACTAAATTTACTTCACGGAAATCCATTACCCAATCTTAACATAAAATTTAATGAATGTAACCACAAATATACTACATTCATAATAATAAATACGTTTTATTAATATACACAGACAGATTGTGATCAAATTAAATGTTTTGTTGTTATTTTTTCATTTCGACTAACAAGATTTATGAATTACATCGAATATTTTGTTTTTGTTGTTTTTTGTTTTTTTTTGGTATTTTATAATTTGTCTATCATAATCAATTTTTCTTTGGAAAAAAATTTTTTTCAAACTTTTTTACCCAACTTCATCTCATTCTTTTAAAGATCAGATGAATTTCTTAGTCTATCATTTAAATATAGAGAATAGTAAACATGGTCTGTTGTAATTTGTACTTTTTTTCTATCTTTTTTCATATTCTCTTATTGTCAATCTTGAAACGAGACAGTAATATTTAATTGCAATTTTTCTACTCTTCCAAGTTAACATGTAGCAACAAAAAATACAAAAATACTATAGAAATATGATTTAAAATAATTTAAGCCATTATTTCATTTAAAACATTTAGTGAAGCATAAAAAATTCCTGCTGTGCTCAATGGTAGATTATATAGGACGATACTAAATAGATATGATAGAGTAATGTTAAAAAATAATATGTATACTACTTTTGAATGAGAAATTTTCATTACATTTCCTAACGATTAGAAGTAAATGGCATGTTGACTCCAATTGTGCTTACTTATATACTATATTGTACGTTTAGTATTGAATAAGTTTATTCTATAGAGAATCAATTAATCTAGGCATTGATTTGTTTAAAAGAATCATAGACATTTGACAGTAGCAACTTAAGTAGAACAAAACATACAAGCCCACAATACTGTTTTCAGTTGAATCCTCATAAATTTTTACTCCAGTTTATAGTTACACAGAAATATATGAACTAAACCCTGTAGAGCAATGCAATTAATGAGCCAATGATAATATGATATGAATTACACAACAGATATCACTCCTATGAAATAAAAGTCAACAATAGGCGGTGAAGTAATAAAGGCAGAAACAAGGAGAACAGTACGATAAAACGAACGACTATTTCAACTTAAGATGAAAGTCAATACTTTGAAAGGTGGAATCACTAAATAAATGGCCACTAACGTTACTTAATACATATGAATGAGGAAGAGAAACAAATGGGTAGAAGGAATATATATAAAAAAACTTGAAAGAATTTTTCGGATATTTTAATTTTTCCTGTTCTCCAAGATAGAATAAATACTTTAAATATGTGAAAAACACAATGCTCACCTCTTTTCCATACATGGAACACATCAGAACTCCGTCATAAAAATGTGAAAGTATAAATCAAATCATTCTATGATTTTTACATTTATCTATCACTTTGAGTTCATTGATCAAATGTAGTAAAACAGAGGAAAACATCTACTTGTTTTACAGGATCTGAGATGCTCGCTTACTTGTTAACTATTTACCCTGAAACTAAACTTAATATACCTATTTCAAAAGCAACAAATGAACTAATGAATAAACACTGATATAAAGAAAACATGTTACTTATTCTATGTTTCAACAATAACTATTAACTTAATTGGCTATTTTACAGCCCTAAATAGTCGATTACACAGAACATTAATTAGATTTATCTTTACTGAATTTAGTCTTTATGATGTAAAACTTCTTATAATTAGATAACATCTTGCTGTGTGAAATAATTCTCCAGTTTAAATTCTTTGTTTTTAAAGATTTTCTATTCAAGATTTTTTTTCTTTTATTAACTTCCAATATTTCTTATCTTCATGAATAATAAATTCATTTAACACTTTAAGAAAAATCCTCCTTCTTTTATTCAATGGTAGATTGTTGAGTAAATAAACAAAGAATATAAATTTCTGCATTAAACTCAATAGAATTATTCGTATGTATATACAACATACATAATTTCTGTTACATGCTTATCTATAAATCTATGTATAATCAATAAATAGAATTAAATGGCACATTAGTTAATTATTTAATTTTATTTAAAGAATATTGGTTAGATTAAATACTCTCTAGAAAAATATAAAAAAAAGAAAAAAAACGAAGAAAACATTTTTTCCTAAATAAGTTTTAAAATAAATTTTAAAAAACAAAACTAAAAAAACGTCGTAAAATCATAAACGAAATAAACTAGAACAATTTTTTAGTGATAAAAAAGAAATAATCAATCAATAGTGAGTGTGATTTGTTGAATAATGAGTTGATAAACACTTTATGGTATAGAAATAAACAAATAGAATCATGACAAAAATTAAAGTAAATAAATAATTTATAATAAACTAGTTATTACATAATGTGAATATGTAGTAAACAATTGTTCATTGTGATTCATATATATATATATATATATATATATATATATATATTTGTACATATGTCTATGGTATTATTTATGCAGAGATGTTGGTTATAGTTCGAAGAAAACTTTACACATTTTAAGCCAATAACGTTTAGATAATCAATGTACCAATTAAAGTTATGAAATTTGGCTGATAGGTAGGTTTAAGGTTCACTTTATTTACCGAATAATGTATTCGACCGTCAAATCTAATGATTATATTTCTATACATAGGACAGTATCCAAACTGCAGTATTTTCATAGTGTCTAAATAATACATGCTTTGATGTATGCTACTCATGTTTACGGGCATAAGTAGTATGTGACATTAATCATAAGTGGAATGCCTGGTAGCAGAAAGTTGTGATCTAATTGAAGAAACTAGAAATGTAATCATAGATCAATTGTAATAACAACAGGATTGAAGGGTCGATAACATTTTTGCGAGACAATTGTTGGAAGATTTGCAAATGAAGTATTTCATGTATAGTTCTGTAAATTGATTATTCTCACTTTATTCTTCATTGATTACAATGATAGTTGACAAAATGTCCAATAACATATATTTTTTTCTTATTAAGTAAATAATTGATAGTTGTTTATGTTTGAGTGTGTAGATATATTGTATAAGTATACTAGGACAAAACGGTTGTCCAATGCTTCCAGGTTTTTCATGATGGTCTAGCTTTAATTCATTCATGAATTCATGTATATATACTGATCAGAAACTTTAACCTAAACATTTTAAAAGATAGATTTGATAAAGCCAATACATCAAAAACTGAAATATAGACTAAATACAATTTGAGCTATTGAATACTGATTCTAATATTTTATTTCATTGAACAGTTCATTCATGATGATGATTATTTTGTTGTTTATATTAGAAAACTAATTACCATTAATATTACTTCCCAAATAATTGGTTTCCACAATGTTAACCAAACAACTTGATAATAATTCAGAAATTGCTAACAAAAATGCCCTATTTAAATGTTATGCAGTGATACTTGATATTTCCTGTAATCTTATGCACTTATTGACCGCCAAACAAATCAATTTACTAAGTTATTCATGAGATTCAAATGACTGTTAAGTTTTTATAAAGAAGAAATCATCACCTGAAATGGTGGAGAACACTTAACTTCTACCTGGAGTGTGTACTGATGATGTCGTTCAAAAGAACGATGAAAGCTCCACGACCAAACCTTCTAACCCAGCGAAAAAAACTCCATCGAAATCATCACCTATATATATCGGTCTCTGTATAGTGTTCCTTAAATAGAGTGTTTCATAACTTCTGCTTAAATCAAGTGAATAGATCTCAAACTTCATTGATTCACAGATAACTTATTTTATAGGTATACAGAAATTTACGAATAGTTATATGAAATTATACATACAGCAACCAATGCTCTATGTTATAGATGATATATCGTAATTAAGACTGTTCGAATTATTATATTAATGTATTCTAGAAATGTTATTCATTATAATTAATCGTTTTAAACCTGTTTTACGGTAATATAAAATAAATAACCAATCCAAATTAATAACATTAAACTATTCTATTGCAAAATGTACCTTTTTGTTTAATACCTAAATGTCATGTATATAACAATATAATATTACAGTAAATTAGCGCTATACACTTATTTATATGTAATGTACTACAAATATGTTTTCATGTATAAAATAAAATTACCATTGTTTGATCTATTATACTTTAACCTTATTGATTATCAATAAACTGGGATGACTGCTAATATGAAAAGTAATCTATTCACTTGTGTTTTACAATTTAAATGATATCAGAAGATTACAGAAATTTATTTATTCCAACATAAAATGATGTGTAGAGATGGTTTAATGGATAGTATGATATAAAAACATTTAATTAAGTTTACATAGAGAGAATCCGAACATATTCATGGATAAACATATATTACTAGTTAACACATCTATCATAATGTATCCACTTCTTCTCGTTATGTCTCTGAGTTAAATTCTAGATGAAATAGGTTTCAGTTGACTCAAAATATTCAAACAGATAACAAAATGCACCGTGATATACAGTCACTAAGGTTAATGCTCGAGGTATTACTCCGTGGACACGATGCATTCAGTAATATGAAATAAATAACATGATATTTCCTGCCACACAGTGATCAGTTCACCCAATATATTTACATACAAGATCTCAGATATCCAATGAAACCTAGAATCAAACGTATCTCATACATAGTCCTGAAAAATACAATTTGACCATCATGTATGTAGACGTCTAGATTAATCAGCAATCTACAGTCAAATTTCACTTCATATTGTAATATAAAGATATTTAAGTTATTTACGAAAGTCAATTTATATATAGAATTAAATAGCATACAATTGTTCATCTCAAACAATTACCCAGTATGTAATTTATAATCTTTCTTCAGTAAATTATATTTTTTTTTGGCAATTAACTCTGGAATTTAAAAAAAAAGTTGTTTTGAGAACTTTATTTTTTTGTTTTTTTTTACAGAGTGATTTAAACAAGTTTTTACTGTACTATCCAATACTTCATGAATTATAATTATTCACATTTTGGATTGTACATTATGGATATAAAAGATCTTCAATTCTAATGGCTTTATTGAATATGTCATGCTGTCTTTACATTGTTGTATTATAATACTCACACTACAGACAAAATTGTTTATATTATTCTCATTTATGTTATGCGTTAAAATAAATTTTATTAATTATGGAATACATTTATTACATGCCGAATCTTTTGATTCGTCATCATCATCGTCGTCGTCACTATCATCAATATCATTGTTACGTACGGACAGGTCAACATCAAATGTATATATTGTAGATTTTATGCTTCCAGACGAATTACCTCAAGATCATTTTATTGGTAACATTCCAAAAAATATTCCAAATTTTCCATTTCATAATATACTCAATTCCTCAGTTAGTACTACATTAGTTGATTCCAGTGGATTTTTATTACAATTATTTCGTGTAACAGATAATGGTGATTTTTATACACAAACTTTAATTGATCGTGATAGTCAGGATCATTTATGTGGACCATTAAATTGTTGTCATTTAATTGTTTGTAATTTAACAGTAGATGTTTTATTTTTCCACCCAATCATTGAATCAATTACAGTACATGTAAATTTACAAATACATGATGCTAATGACAATTCACCTCATTTTACACAACAAACATTTTCATTATGGATACCAGAGGATAATCGACTTAAATATACTGATTTAGATATTCAAAACATGCATAAAACAATATATGGATTACCATTAGCTACTGATATTGATTCTGCACCAAATGGTGTTGTACAATATCGTATACATGGTAGTTTACTTGTCGTATCAACATTCCAAATTTATAGTAATTTAAGTATTGAGAAATTAGGTCTTTTAATTAAACCAGGTGTTCTTCTTGATTATGATAATGTAAATCAACGAATATTCAAATTAACCATTGAAGCAGTTGATGGTGGTCATCCAGCTAGAACTGGTCGAATGCTTGTACTTGTACATATCACAGATGTAAATGATAATATACCTGTATTTAAAAAATCTAGAGATTCTATAACTTTACTAGAAAACACTATGTTTGATGAACCAATTTACACGGTACAGGCTACTGATATGGATTCAGATGATAATGGTCTTATAAAGTATACTTTGTCATTGGCGAACCCAATTACTCCATCATCTGTTATGGAGAAATTTACATTTCATTCCACTACTGGTGAATTATATTTACGGAATGTTTTAGATTATGAGACATTTCAAGAGAGACAAATAGACTTGTTATTCATTGCTTGTGATACCGGTGATCCGCCGCTTTCATCAACAGCCCAGTTAACAATTTATTTACAGGATATTAATGATAATCCACCACAATTAATTATACAATTGAATAATACAATTAAGGAGAATAGTGAACCTGGTCAAATTGCTCTACGTCTTATGATCCGTGATAAAGATGAAGTATCACGTGACATGGTCGCATGTCATTCGGATCATTCAAATCTGCACGTTCCATTAAAAGTGTCAATATCTGATGATAAAACAATGATAACGGTCATTACAAATGCAACAATTGATTATGAATTAACGCCAAGACTATACTATACAATAACATGTTTAGATGAAGCTAATCCAAAACAAATGAGACAATTTAACCTTACGATTTCTATAGGCGATGTAAATGATAATCCACCAAAATTCAAATCATCTACATTTGCTCCAAAAATAGGTCATTATAAAATTTTACTAAGTGAAGCTGAGCCAGTTAATCAATTATTACTAATTGTAACAGCTGAAGATGTAGATAGTGGAGAAAATGGACGAGTAACTTATAGTCTAATGGAAATAGACCATAATACAGAGATACCTACTGTTAATGCTTTGCAGTACTTTAAAATTGATAGTCAAACTGGTAGTATATTTCTAATTAAACAGTTAGACTATGAACAAAATGACTTATTACGTTTTAAAGTATTAGCTGAAGATAATCCTAGACCAGCAGATGGTATACGTTTGAGTTCTGTGGCTACAGTTATTGTACAAATATTAGATGTTAATGACAATGGACCAAAACTAATTAGCTCAGACACTTTAAGTATAACTGAACATTCACCAGTTGGTACAGATTTAGGTTTATTAAAATTTACTGATCCTGATACAGGACCTGGTGGTCAGATAGCACATATCACTTTGATTAATTCATTCTCATTAATTAAAACAGATGAGAAACATTCAATACAGAATAAATGTAATATTTTCAATGAAGGTACTCATTATTTTAAATTAACTGATAATGGCCATTTATTATCGATACAATCAATTGATCGTGAAGAATGTTCAATAATATATTTACCTGTTTATGCAATCGACCGTGGTCTACCAAATCCAATAACAAGCACTACAACATTAACAATACACATACTTGATATCAATGATAACATTCCAATAATTGAAAAACCAAAATTAGGTGAAACATTAATTTATCAACCAATAAAGTTAGTCGATTGGGATAGTTTATCATTTTATCAGTTAACAAATAAACATGATAAAATTTTAAATTATAAACTACTGAATAACACATATTTAAAACAAAATATTAATAATAAAATGTCAAGAAAGTATATTTATAGTAGAGTGGCATTTCAATTACAAGCGAATGATTTAGATGCTGGTGAAAATGGACGTATTACATATCAACAGAATACTAGTTGTAATGGTTCAAAATATTTCCATTTAGATGAATTTTCTGGAGAATTTCGTGCACGCTTTATTGATTATCAGAAATTATCAACTCCTGAATTAATTGAATCAGATGCTAGACGTGGAATTTATCATCTATGTGTACAGCTTACTGATAATGGTAAGCCATCATTACAAACAACCACTTGGTTTTATGTTAAAGTTATTGATCCAATCATGCCACCTAGTGTACACAATATGTGGCCAGCTGATTCAGCAAATGATATGGATTTATTATTTCCACATTTTTATAATTCAACAAATTCTCTATGGTCTACAGATTTTTTTGATACATCCAAATCGGATGCAGTACGTTTACCTATTGATATGAATATCAGTAATATTGTGATTTCCTTGTTGTTGGCCATTTTCGCTATTACTATTATTTGTACATTGACAGCAGCAATCTTATGGGCACGTACTAAACGACGATTTAAAAGAGCACATGGGAAAATTATAAAATCTAACTGTACAAATAACACTCTTAGTAATAATAATAATCAAAATACAAATAACACAACCAAATTCAAATTATCAAACAAAAATATAAGACAAGAAAACAATAAAACTATAAAGCTCTCTCCAATAAGCTCAAAATTCAAGCATAAAACACTATTCCATCATACTGACACTAGTAGCACAATTAGTCAAATTCATAATAAAAATAATTATTATGGTAGTTGTAGTAGTATATCCAGTAATGATAATAGTAATGATACATCATGTAACATGAAAGTTGACAATCTATGCAAACAATTAACAACTAATACTGAAACTGTAAATAATACTACTAATAATAATGTTATTAGTAGTCATAATTATGACATTAATAAAATTAGTAGTCAAACTGTTATATCTTGTGTAAAATCTCCAAAATTATATGCACCAGTCAAACATAAAAATGAATTTGAAAAGAATACATCTAAAAAACGATTTTCTACAGGTTTATTTCATAAAAATAAATTAACAAATATAAGTAGTGATAGTAACTATGTAGCATTAAATAAAATTCATTATACTTCAACATATTCTGAAAAACTTCAACATTTGCCACAAGAATATAAACAAGTTGCAGAAATTAATACTCATATTGATTCTGACAATCCATTTCTTTTACCCTGTGATCTTATTTCAGTATGTCCTAAACATAATTTCACTGATAGTGATAATAATAAGCATAGTAATATTGGAAATAATAATAACAATAAAAATAATTTTTATACCAGTGATACCTGTGAGACACCACCAACTTGTTGTTCATTAATTACTGTACAATCAACAAGTCCACAATTAAAATATTCAGAAAATGATATTTTTCATCATTTTCATTATGGACAAGAAACACTATCAAGTCAACAGCATGATCAATTATATTCATTGCCATGTGCAACACATTTTGTAACAATAGATCCTAATAATGTTGAACTTAGATCAATGAATACTATGAATTCAATAAATGAAAAGAAAATAAATTATCCAACTAATCTACTTTCAGAAAGCATGATAACATGTTGTTCAACAATTCCCGTAAGTAAATAATTTTGTATATAATGATAAACATTTAATGTCATCCTACATATGGAATTATTATTTTAGAATATTTGAGGTATTCATTACATGTGAAAATTATATTTGAAACAATCTCAGAGACTGATATTTAATATAATTCCATTGTTTCGCCCAGCTAACTTGTCTAAACTTCTTTAGGGTAAGAATCAAAATCAAAATCAAAATCACCAAAGAAATATGTAGCGCTTTAACAATCGAATCATATAAAATCAATACTGTGTTCATTCAATCATACTTGGATGCTGATTTTTAGTAAATAGGACAACATGGGTCAGTTGAATGAGAATCACGTGAAAAGTTTGCGATGTGAAAATAAATGACTGAAACGGATTGTGTGTGTGCATGTATGTGCAAGATTGAGTTATTAATGAATGATATTCGGCATTATGTTTTTATATGAAGGAAAAATAAAAGTGCAAATCGAAGATTGAAAAAATGTTTCTGAATCATTGATGTGCATGTAAAATGAAAAGCATCAAATATTGCTAGAAACAACTCACATTAAATTCTAGTCAAAATAACGATGTATGTAGAATAAATAGGTTGAATAAAGAAAGGATCCAATTACTTGTCAATGAATATCTGCCAGGTAGTCGCTCGATGAATACTGTTCTCTCGGTTCATATTAACACCAAATATCAATCATTAATAACTCAATCTTACATATACATACATACAGAAACACACAATTCCATTTCAGTCATTTATTTCCACATCGTGAACTTCACATGATTCTCATTTAACTGACTCTTGTTATCCTGTTTACTAAAAATCAACATCCAAATATGATTGGATTAACACAGTATAGATTTAATTCGATTTGATCGTTAAGACGCTATATATTTCATTGATGATTTAGATTTTGATTATCACACTGAAGTCCAGACACGTTTACTGGACGGAACGTTGGAATTTTATTAAATTTCAATCTCTGAGATTACTTCAAATATAATTTTTACATATAATGACTCTTCTATACTCGGTGCTCAATTTCTATCAAACTATTCGTCCCAATCGTGACGAATATTCGTATAAATCTAAAATACTGTTTTTTTTAAATAAATGTCATCAAAATAACCTGAAATATTAAATTGTTTAGGTTATGTATTTGATAAACTACTATTCAACTAAACTATGTTCTCAAAATTAAAATATATTTCAAGTAAAAGATTTGTGGAACCACCAGCTGATCTTAATTAGGTAACTAATGAAAACCTAGAAGCACTGGCCTCGTTTCGTGATTTAAACTATGAATATATCTCGTCAAATTGAAAACTATTCTAATAATTATTATCAGTTACCATCGAAAACTTATAAATAAAACATTTTTAATTATAATGCATTATGTTAGAAATATTTCTGGCTGAAATTCAGCTCGGTAACACCTAATCTAATGATTGTTAATTATCATTAAGTTAATTGAATAAATAATTAAATTACGAAATATAATTTAATGGTTACGTGTACAAAAATAAACTAAAATTTAGAAATGAACCGGAAGTATTTTTTTGTGAAATTACTTTTTATCGATAATAATAATAAAGTAATATATATATATATATAGTCATATATATATATATATATATATATATATATATATATATGACTTTTGTATTCAGTATATTCACAAGCATACATTTATTAAGATTCTTTTATGTCTCAAACATAATGTACAGCATGTTAACGAGTACATTAGGTAAAGTTACTTATTCTAAACGCTATTATCAAATGTTTATTTATTTAGATATTTTTAGAATTCTTTATACTTTCGTGAAAAATAAACTTATTGTCTTCCAGATAGTTTTTGTCACGAACTGATAATAATCGTTAAACAACCTCTTCTACTATGGTCTTAATCATCCGGAATTTCGTTCCTTTTCTTCACGGCCATCTGCTTCCGTTCTATCTTCTGTATAAACTTTTTTTCCTCAACTGATTTGTTTCAGTTTATATGATCTTCCTTATAACAGTTCACTTCAATTTTAACATTTTATCTTATCATGCTAAGTAATCCCTTTCCAATCATAATTCTATGTCTACCTTCATAATGAATATTTATCATCCTCGATAAAAATAACATTTTTATGCTTTTATTTATCTAACCTCACTGTTAGTACAATTAGAATAGAACAGATAGATGTTTTGTTTTGACTTATTTGAATTCTTAACCGATGCCTAGACTTAAACGTCATATTGGTGACAACTGAACACTAGAATTATGGGGTTGTAAAGATTTTTGAGTTTTATTGAAATCAAAAACACATCAGTGTTCGATAACTATTGGAAATGTAGAAGTTCTGGACAGCTGATTCGTTCTAGTATACGACTCTTCCGGACTGCTTATTCACTACTCAACATGTGAGAATGGAACCTAGGATCTTCGGTCTTGCTCATGAATGCTTAATCTCTAGGTCACTCAGTCGGGATCCAATAGCGTTAATGTCTAACTTCAGTCAACCCCCGTTCTTGAGAGTCCTTCTTCAATTGTTTTTTGAGGGTAATTACTTCACACCCGACACCGTTAAACTCATCAAAGACATTTAAACATTTTTGACAAGATAAGGAGCATAATTTACACGATGAATAATTGAAAACAAGAATTAAACATATAACAAAGCCACATTGACCCACTTGATATTAAGTTTTAACTACAGACCTACTGATATCTAAGTAGTAACTGAAGAAAATTTTCCTTTTTCGAATAAAACTTCTCAACAATACTCTCTCCTGATCCTACTGAGAATTAAACCCTACGTTTGATAATTATTTTGCATTAACTGTATTTAAAATCAATCCTTACTTTAGAACCAGTTTAAAAAGTGGAATGCAGGTTTTTATCTCTTTTTTACGTTAGTACTACTGAACAGCAACAACACAATTGTCTGTAGTGTATCTCATAGCTAAACTATAACAAGACAGGGTTATACTTTAGAACATTTAGTCTTTAATAATCATTAAAACAGTATTATTCTTAAACATTCAAGAGAAAGAATCTATTTGTATATTCACAGCGAAACGTTGAATTTACTTCAAATCCATTTACTAACATTTTATAAATACATTCTTTCTCTTTAATATCTTATATCAACTCATCGCCGAAATACTGTAAAACTATTCGATTAAATTTAGTTGAAAGTCCTGATAAAGTATTATTTTTAATTTATTTAATCATAGAAAAGATAATTATTGTATTATTCTATAATTTTACTATCTCATACCTTTTTTTCTTAATTCTATTCATTAATAATTGTATTTAATTATTTCATTGTTTCCTTTCATTCTGATATATCCTTATTGTTATGACACCTTTGATATTAAATAGATAAGGAAACTTTTTTGTTTCTGATTCTAGCCATACACGTCATTATTGATTAGAAATTAAATAATTACATATTTCTATCAAAAAAAAACAAAAAAACTTTTTAATAACCTTAAATGACCTAGTTCACAAAATAAGATTTAATAAACCACAATTTCTTTTTCAAAAAAAAATTTCGGTTCACACACATTAGTTGACAATAAAATTATCACTTTTTTATTATTGTGATAAAGAAAGAAAGAAAAAGATTTAAGTATCATGAGTCATAGATAAATTCTGAGAAATATTTAGTTAAAAATTTCACTCTTTTCTAAGAATAAATTATTCAGAAAATAAAGAGAGAATCGTTATAAACAAGAATGGATAATGGCTAGCAGTGGAATTCCGGACACGCGTTTCGTTCTATTTGGGACTTGTCAGCCAGGTGCACTTGTATCCCTGTACCATTCGATTTCAATGCCAGCTGACGAGTCCCAAATAGGATGGAACGCGCATCCTGAATTCCACTGATAGACATTATTCATTTTGTTTAAAATGTTTGTGAACTAAGGTAATATCAAACAAATGCGCACAGGATCAATTGCAGACCTTAACATCAGTAGAAAGATTAAAACAATACCAAGTGAATTTAAAGTGAAAATCAATTAGAACTTTGATAATTGAAGACAACAATGAACAGAGAGAAAAAATATCATCGAACAAATTTTGAAGATAAGCAAGAAATACCATCATGAAATTTATGTTCATGTAAAATAATTAATATTGATAAGCTTGATAATATGTCACATTGAAAATCAAGGATATGATGGTTGCATGCAGTTTCGTTATAGAATTACTCTGATATTGTTATGTTTTACAGTCAGACTGAGAATATCCTCGAGTGTGCGATAAAGATATCTTTGAAACATTCTTTTATTTAACCAGCACGTACTGATATTTTATTTACCGTTAAAACTAAGTAAAATCTATTAGTTTCAGTTATAAACTAAACAAGTGATTTATAAGAGACAGTAACCAATGTGATATTCATCTAACCCTTTCCTGTTAAATGTAGTCTGTTGACCAGATTTCAATATGAGTACTAGTCCAAATGATTGAACATCATGCACAATAGTTCGAAATGTTAAGTGATTACAGTTAGTCTACTGAAAACCTTGAACCTAGGTTTCGTGCTACTTGGTGTTTGTCAGCAAGTCGTTCCAATAGGCTTGAGGCGACCAATATTCCCTGACGAATTTGAAAATGTGTCGTCCAATAAAAATAATAGTTTTTATCTCATAGTTATAGTGAACTTGTAAAGTTTTAATGTCTAACATCACTACATCAAGAGAAACCCATTAATTACTAATTTCTATAGATTATAAATGTTTTTCCTTGATGAGTTCAGCCCACCAGAGGAAATACAATGTCTTTGGCACATTTTTGTTTTGTCTATACTACATTGTTGTTAATAGAGGTAAATAATTTGATAATTATTTGAAATATAAGTCGATTTCGGTTGACAATCAATAACTTCAACGTAAAGCATAATATCAGAATGAAAGTTTTTTTACGTTACAAATATTTATATCCGTTTGTCTAGTGCTGTTACAAGGCAGAAAATTCTAATTATACAGTCAAACAAAGACTATAAAGTCCA